TGTTGGCTCCTATAAGCATTCCTTAATAGCATATCTATACTAATGAATTAGTTATTTCAACCTATTTTGATGTTGCTTGAATCTAAGACTTCTTTTACTTCAAATTCTTCATTATTATCTATTTTTATAGAAAGTAGTGGCATCTATTTTTTTCTTATTTTATTCATTATTTTGTATGGTTCAAAAAGAGATATATAGAATATAAAATGGATCGTCATTGACTCTAATAGGTATGATTAATAAACAACTAGATTGATTTATTTATAAATAGAAAAAAATCTAAGCTTACAATAGTCTAACTTGTTACAAAGATGAGTAGTCTTGATATTACAACAAAATAACCATATTTTATCATTCACCTTGAATTATGGTTATTCCTAAGAATAGGCATATGTATTTATCTATTTTTATTTTTGAGCTTTTTTTAATTGAATTTTTATTAATACATGTAGCTTTAACAAATAATTTGTCAAATCTATTGCCACAAGATTATTAATTTTTGAAAAATCAAAAACATCAAGTTATAGATGATAACCATAATAAGTAAAAAAAATATTTGATGAGTAAAAGAGTGTACAATATTATTATAAACAAACTCTGCTAATGGCAAAAGAATTCTTGAATCATCTTATTAATAGTTAATGATACACCTCAAATATGTGATCAATACGCTTTATTTGTCCATCAATTTGAGAATGAAAGGCCAAAGATAATTTTATATCTATCTTTAGAATCTTAAAAAAAATAAAATAAAAATAATACATATTAAGTCCTCTTATCTTTAGTAATATCCTTGCATAATCCATAATAGCAAAAGATGTTTGCATGAAAAAGCTTAGCTATTTTTTCACTTGTGATAGATTTTATACATAGTACAAAATGTACCATCTTAGTAAGACAATCTATTATTATGAATATAGAATCATATAAATTTGAAATTGAAAGATCTGTGATAAAAATCTGTAGAATTAAAAAAACCATCATTGTTTGGGTATGGGCAATGATTGGAGAAGTCCATAGAATTAGTGGCAATGAATTTTTGATTTTAAATAAATATCACACAAGTAGAAAAAGTCTTTCATTGCTTTCCACATTTGCAACGACTAAAAATGCTTAAATATAAGCTCCAAAATCTTGTTATATCCAAAATGTTTAATTGCCAAAAAGTCATGATGTTCTTGAAAAATAAGTTAATATGTTTTTTTTTATAGAATATATAGGCGTCTTTTGAAATAAAATAGGTTGTTCTTGAATTCAAACTTAAAAGCATCATGGGATTTAGAAGAAATATTTTTGATATCATAAACAAAAAGATCAAAAGACATGATTGAATTTATTTAACAAAGGTTGAATAAAAAATCAATGTTGATTTTATTTTTTAAAGATGAAAATGTTTTGGCTTTAAGAAAATAATTTTTTATTAAATAAAAGATGCATTTCTTTCTTTTGGTGCAAGATAAGAATATTTAAAAATAGTATCTAACAAACCTTATTATTTTTTGAATCAATAAGTGAACTTGAAATTAAATCTTATTAAAAACATGTTTCAATGAATTTGGCGACAATTAAAAATATGACTTGATATAAAATATTCAAGATTCTTGTGATCCATATAAACAATGACTAGATTAGAAGCGCCTTCTAACAAATGATGCCATTCTTAAAATAAATCCACAATTGCAAAAAAAATTCTTTGTCATATATCTTGTAATTGATCTTGATTATTAAAAAAAAAATTAATAAAAATCTATTAGATAAAATTTATCATCTATTTCTATTTATAATAATACAACACTCAAAATAAAGTCAAATACTTCTATATTTATAAAAAAATGGCTTAAAAAAATTGATGTAAAATAAGATTGGTACAAAAATAAATCTTGACTTTAAAGCTTCAAAATAATACTTTTGCTTCTTAATTCCATTAAAATTTGTCTTTACAAGTCAAATATATAAGTAGAGCTGGGATTTGAAAGAAGTCTTTGATGAAGATCCAATAATAATTGGTCAATCTTAAAAAGCATTGGATATCTTTTATCATTTTTGAGATCTTTTAACTCCTACTACTTTGAATTTTTTTAGGATCCATCATAAGTTTAATATTTGAAATGATGTATCCTAAGAAATTGACTTGAATAGTTTGAAACATATACTTATCTATCTTGGCATAAAATCTCACATCTCTTAATTTTTGTAACATACAACAAACATTAAATTCATATATTTTTATTTTCTTAAAATAGATTAAGACATCAATTAGGTAAAAAATAATAAAGTCATCTAAAAACTTTCAAAAGACATTATTTATTAAATATTGGAAAGCTAATGGTACATTTGTAAGTATAAAAGGCATGACGTTGTATTCAAAATATCCATACCTAATTCAAAATATAATCTTCTATTCATTTCCTTATTTCATGCATACCATATTGTATGCTCTTTATAGATCTATTTTTGTATAGATCTTAGCTTGATTTAACTGATCAAGAAATCTAAATATCAAAAGTAACAGATACAATTTCTTAATGGTGATTTTATCAAATCCTCAAAAATTGATACATATTTGCAATGATTCATCTTTCTTCTTCACAAATAAAATTAAAGCTCTTATTGGACATTTGAAATGACATATAAATTTTTTGGCCAAATTCTCTTTAATGTATTCTTTGTATTTAGTTTAATTTTTTTCATTAAAAATATGCTATATCTTTAAACAAATTCTTCATCTAAGAAAGACATTGAGGTTCTTAAATCTAACAAAGTAAAAGCTTTGTGATATTTAGATTTTGAAATTAAAACAAAGAAAGGATTTTGGAGAGAGAATAGGACCTTCACTACATGTTATATAAGATTATAATTCTATGATTCCTATTGTAATAAAATAAGCTTATTTCTTGACATACTCCATATTGTATAAGATTCTAATCCTACAATTCCTATTATAGTTAAATAAACTTTTTTTTTAACATGCAATCTATATTGATAATCAAATTCCTGTCACTGACATACACATGTAAACCAATAATTACATGATAAATAGGTAGAAGTAAGTAAAAATAAATAAATAAAAGTTAATTTTATAATATTTGTTATAGAAGCTTCTTAAAAGCTTTATAGATGCTGCTTTGACTTTATAGATGTCTTTAATTGACTTTTTGGATTAGAAACGTGATTAACAAGTTGACCATGTGCCACACATGTTGTTAGTTTGAAGACCAAGTTAACTATGTAGCCCACACGTAGAAAAACTTGCCTTGTAAGTCAAGGCATGTGCCCTACAAAGTCAACACATATTGAAAGTCCTATAGAACGTCACCACGTAGCCTCTAGTTAGATAATATATATAGAAACAAGAGTGAAGCCTTCTTCATTCGTGTCAATTCATTTCTTGCTTCCAATCTAGTTTCAAAAGTTTCTAGTTTTCTTGTCTTTTGGCAATAGCCATTCCAATTTCTTTTTTAATATACATGTAAAGTAATTTCTATTTTGTCATCTTTCTTTGAAAGAAGTCTCACTAATTTTTTTTTTTTTTTTTATCATGTTCTTGTCTTTGACAACTCTTCATATTGTGATTGCATCGCTTCATTGAAAAATATGCCTTAATAATTCTTCCACAAAAATTTTAATTTCATCTTATCACCACATTTATAAATGTATGTCAAATTTGCTTTGTTATTTAAAATTGTGATTTTAAATTGCATACTCTATATCATCTATCTACTTTAATATCCTAATCAATATCCATATCAACTTCAAAATACTTGCACAAATTCCAACAATTTTATAAGATATATTGTATATTCTTTTTTAAAAGGATTTCTATAATTTACAAGAAAAATATACATGTTACTATTACTTCACATAGTTAGCTTGGTCTTCATAGTTAACATGTTAGCATGTTTCTATTTCTCCACCACCCACTCCGGTCACCTAGCTACTCCGATCTCGACGATCTTTAACATGTTGAAACCGCAGTTTAGGCGGCTGCAGCAACACAAAACTTCACGGCAATCGCACGGATGAGCTTTGAGAACTGCTCCTCCGAAGTTACTTGATCCAAACTGCCTATGCAATAACCGCTCATCACTTGTTTCGTTGCCACAAATTATTGTAACTCCTACTTCGATGATCCTAAGCTTGTCGAGAGGCTAACATCAATCGGCTACTGCCTTCAAAAATTCCACCCCAAAATCCGCTAATCCAACATACTGATCGAAAAAATTCAACGCCCTCCAAAAATAAACCGACCCACAACCGATAGCGGATTCGACCGACTTTGGGCACTTGCACCATATCCAATCCAGATTCTTGAGAAGTAGCAGCGTTCACATGACGGGCTCAGAAGGCAGTAAGCTCATGCAGCAACTCACGATATTCAACTTGTGCAATGTACGCATTCAATGCTCATCCAACGAGTGCATGCGCAGAACCACTAGAATCATGTGTGTCGCAGATTCAGAATGACACAAAACCCACTGCTGCCGCTCCTACCTAAATCTCAAAAAACTTTCTGAGCCATGGCTCAATTCGTGCTCAACACCTGCTCAAACTTCAGATCTTCCCGTCCACTCTAATCCTGCGCAAGCAAAAACAAACCCTAAAATTGAATATTCTCAGCGGCGCCCCCCGCTCTCCACCACCACCTCTCTGCCTACTCACGAAAAAATGTCTCCTGTCGAATGAGATCCCTCACGCAACCGATGTGAATGTCGACGCCCCAGTTGTTTCATCGATACCGCTCATAGACGTCGCCCACCTCTCTCCTAATCATGGGTATCCCTCCACGGACCTCGTTGTCATCCTCAGCTGGTTCAGGGTTAGGATTTAACTGATCAACATCCTGTTCAGGTGACGTTGTTGGATAAAGGTGAACCCAGATTTGTCCGGCGTTGCAGAGCAGCGTTCTGATGAATGAACAAATGAATGAAGGAATGAATGAGTGGCTAAGGGATCGATGAATTAGGGTTTCATGCTTCATCTGTGGAGAGCAGCATCGGAGCCCTATAATACCTGCCATTGCTCCGTTGCAGAGTATCGGGTTGCCATGTATCTTGGAATCCAGGAAGTGTTGTCTTTCTGGATCGATGGTGTAAGATGTGGTTACGTTGTTTCCCCGCTTCGTGGATAGTGTCGATGCTGCTGTAGTCTCGGCTCTGGGGGCTGCTTGGGTGGATTTGTGCAATGCTTGATAGTGAGGGGGTTGGGCTCAGTGTGGCAGGAACGCATCGTGCCTTGGCCGCCGCCGAGAGTGAGGCACGTCTGGGTGCTGAGTTGTGATTCCAGCCCGCATTTGGGCTTCGGGAAGAGTCGGTGAAGGGGGAGAAGTCGTTGGCGATGGGGATTTGCTGTGAGATGTCTGTGCTTGTGAAGCTAGGTCCTCCGTGTGTGTTGTGGTCGTTGTTGTAGGGGCTGTGGGTGGTGGGGTCAATGAGATGTGTGCGGGTGGGAGGAAGGTTAATGGGTAGGCGCTCGGTTGGAATGTGAGGGATGTGCCTGTGCATGAGGAGGCTACCATGAGTAGATTGGTAAGTTGTTGTGGATACAGTTGTGACTGCGATGGAAATGGTGAAGGGTTTGTGAGGCAGTGTGGTCTGAGGTGTGGAAGGCACCCGAGTCCAAATCCCCGATGATTAATGACATTAGCTCTATCCGGAAATCCACATGTGGACAAGAGATATAAAGTATGAGGGAAAAGACTTGGGTGATGGTTATGTGTTTTGTAGGCTGCATCGAAATGAAACCTGTCCTGGTGAAATTTGATGAGAACCCGGAAATCATAAAAACGTGACCTTAAGAAAGCTCACTGCTAAATGTAATGTGCAACGCTCACTTTGTTACATGATTATATGAACTTTGTATTGTCGAACAGGTAACAGAAACCTATCAGATTTTAACTTTGTTGCACAACAATCTAGAATGTAATGTAATATCAAATGATGTCTACATCAGAAAATTCATGAAACTGTGAACATTTGAAGGGCTCTTTAAAATTATCACTTAAAAATGTCTTGTAAGTAAAATCTTTACAACTGTATTCGACAAACTTGGTGAAGGTAGAAAGCAAGGGGCCCCATTACTATATCTTGCGAACTGCGCTTGGCGGCAACATTCGTACTGCCATCATCTGAGCAATGACTCCTGATAAGGGATTTTTCTGAAGATAGTTGAAATGCTCTGCACTTGTGAAGTAGAGCGAAGGGATCAGCAAATTGTGCCGAAGTGATTGAAACTTTAACCAATGCAACACTTCGTGAACAGCGGAAAAAAGGAGATTGATGTGATTCTCCCAAAATTGCAGGGGCAAGGATCCAAACTTGCGGAGGACTTGGACATGGAGAGAAAGAACCCACAGAAGACATGCTGAAGATTGAATAGTGCAGAGAAAAACTGGTGCTATAGCTTCATGAATAGAAAAAAAGGCTTTGAACGATAAACGAAAAGAACAGGAGAGGAAGACTGAATCTCAACAGCATGGTCATCAGCTTAGCTATCGATGACTTCGGCCGACTTCCTCAGAAGGAAAGCAGAGGGGAGACAAGGTGTCTGCGCGAGTAACGTCAGACTTGGACATTTAGAGAAGAAAGAAATCGACGAAAGAGTTTGAATCACTAACAAACTTGCAAGGAAGAACTGTTCCCGTGTCTCTTTGAAGCAGCAATAATCTTGAACCTCCGCCGTCGTTTGGAAGTTTGCTTAAAGCTTGAAAACAAAACCCACCGAGAGGAATAAGGAGATGAGTGCGTCCAGCTAGAGCCCAGGAATGGACAGAACCACCAAGAGAAAGAAGAAGATGAAGTTGGACCAGTTATAGATTATGAGCAAGAGCATAACTTGGAGGTGCGGGCGGTGAAGACACCAGAAGGGCATGTTGGGATCGATGCTTTAATCACTAGGAACGACGGAGTTGTGTGGCGGGAGGGTGTGTATATCAGAATAGGAAAGCAAGGAAAATTGTCTCAATCGTCTTCAGGACAAAGTCTCATCAGTGATGGCCACTGTGAAGAAATGTCTGTTTAAAATTCTGTTGCATGAATGCTACAACATGCCCAGGTTGAAGTTCAAGCTAGCCAGGTTCCAGTTCGTTGTCCGCAGTCAGATTGTTCAGAGGAACTCGAATATTCTCACGAATGCAAACACAATCCTACAATGGAGGTATTTGTCATGCGCACAAAGCAGCTTACAAAAGCAAGTGTTCCCGAAGGAGATGAAGCATACTGCTTGTACGCAAAATATGCTCTACTTTTGATGGATTAGAAAAGCTTGGATCCTACACGACAGAGCATGTCGGCTTCACTCAACAAATCGTCAATGTATCAGAACATAGCATGCGTTGAATGCAGACGAAGCTTTTTTGGAGTTCCTCGGCATTGGAACCGAACTTGTCAGGAATATCAAAACCTCTCTCCTGATTGTGGTGATGGCTAAAAGACAAATCTTTACAAATTGATGCCGAGGGTTGTTACCACGTGAGGTGCTTGTGTGAATATGAGTTTTGTTGTACATGTGGCATAGAATGGAAAAATAAAGAAAGAACATTGTCAATACAAGCTTTTGAATGTTATTTGCATATGTTGGGGGTGTTAGACAATAGGTGGGATGGCATTGGTGAGCCGATTGATAATACAATAGAAGGTTTGGAGACATTTACATGCAAGAAGGCTTTACTGGGTTTACTTCTTAGTTAAATTTGGATGGAAAATTGTTGTTAATGGTCATGAAATGAAGCCTTAAAGTAGTGGAATTTATAAAAAAATTAAAGCTTTAAAGCAATATTTTAAAGACATATTTATTTATTTATTTATTTCAGATATTATCTATGTTTGACACACACACATATATATATATATATATATGCTAATAAAAATAAAGACATCAATAGAACTTGAATCAAGACTAGATTAGATTGAATACATTAATAAAACTAAAGATGATCTTAGTTTTGCATATTAAATATACTAACTAAAAAAAAGTCATGCAAAAGCTACTCAAGGACTACAGTGATGTTTTAGATCTACATATATTTGAAGTATGGTAGTATTTAAAATCTAAAAAAAATCTAGCTATTTAACTCATCGAAAAACACTTGTTGACTCTGATTGCAACCAAGAAACTTTTACAATGTCTTATGAGACAATATTGTTTACTTAACATGTTTCTAACTATTTCTACTCATTTCTAATTATTTTAGTTCATTCAAAATTCAATAATATTATAGTCTTTTTTTTTTTTGTGAAAAAATATTAGTTACTAATTTCATGTATTTAAGTTTTTTAATTAGAGTTTTTATAACTATTTTTATAAGTATTTCAAAACATGTTTAAGATTTCTGTCTAAATAACATTAAATTCTGTTTCTTAAAAATAATTAATCTTAAAATGTGAGTTATTTGGGATATTTAAACTTATTCAATTATTTTTGATATATAAATCAGTACTTATTTTACATTTAAAAAGGTTTACAAAATTAAAGAAGATGAAAATATTTAAATATTATTATTATTATTATTATTATTATTGAATAAATAATTTTATTTTTTTGAATATATACATATATATATATATATATATATATACATATGTCATACAACCTTCAAATTCATGTTTATTTTCAAAAGTAATTAGCTTCCTTGAAAATAAAATATTACAAGATAAGATATTAATTCAAAGATAGATAATTTTGAATCTTTAATATGTAATAATATCTTATAAAAAAAAAGTATAATCTATTTAATAGTCAAAAGATACAAAACAATTAGTAAAAAGGTAGTCTTGCTAAACTATAAAAAGACAAAAGTACAATGCAATTAGAGATAAAGAAACACAAGAAAAAAAATATATTAGATTAGACATATGATTAGATTAAATTTAGAAATAAATATATATTTAGATTATTTTAAAACTAATATTCATGAAAGTGAGCTACTCTTTCTCTTGCCTTTGTTGTTAAACTATGATAAAATGTCCTACAGAAGTTTCTACAAAACGTTCTAAAAATCACAAAATATTTTAAAAACTTAAGAATCTTTAAATATAAACTTATAAAAGACCATGAAAGTTTTATAGAGATTTTGTAACAAACTAAGGAATCATATGGAAGGTTGTAGAGGATTGTAAAAACTTCTAAAGATCTATAAATATTTGTTCAAATATCCAAAGTAAATTAAAAGTTGTAGACAATTCTTGAGATTATGACTTATTTATTTGTCTTTGATACTTGTAATTCTCTGTCTACATTTAAATTTCTGTTTCTAACTTTTATAATTCCCTATAACAATTTGGCTTAAACTTCTTTAAGTATATAATTATTAAATAATATTTAAAAATAAAAATATTATATATACAATATTTTTGGCATATGCAGTCATAAACTATAGATTTTAAAAATATCACATTTAGACAATAAGATTTTTTAAAAAATTGGATTAAATTAAAAAATTTAAAAACTCTAAACTGAAATTGTTAAAGACTTTAAAAATGTACAAAAAATCTTTGAAATTAAATAGTAAAAAGCAACTATATATTGTATGATGTACAATAAGAATAGTTTTTACAACAAACAATCTATTATTAAATTCAAGAATATCAATTTATACTATTAATAAGCAAAACATCAAATCAAATCAAATAATGTAAATTATAAGTCCAATACAAAATATTTTTAATATACTTGAAGTTTGAATTAGATTATAATTTCTTTAATATTTCCAATTACATAATTATGTAATAAAAACCAATATATTTTAACCACCTAAATTTGGTTATACTATTATTAAAATACTTAACATATTTTATACCTAATTTTATTATGGTTTATAATTTGATTAATACCAATTCTAAGAGAATCTACATAGTAGCAACACTTACAATATATGCAAACAATGGCAAGCTTCAGGCATTTTTTTTAAAAAATTTTAAATTTTTTATTTTACACCGTTTTATAATTGGTGACAATAGAATCTTACTACATAAAATATTGCACTAAATGTTTAAAACTGTTTCCTAGTAAAGACAATTATTTCAACTTATTACAATCAGAAGTAATCATATTAATGTCAAACACCAACAAATAGGGTTTCATGCCAATTATATTTGTTTTGGATAAGACCAATACTATTAGAATTTTGCTGTTCTAATGACTGGGATATTACATCATTAGTTATGAAACATACAACCAACCTCATCATACAAGAAACTATCTCTCAGTTCTGTGTTCTTGAGTCTTGCAATATCATTTGCTTCTTACATTTTCCATTAAAAAATTCTTAGACATTTAAGTGCAATTTATGGTATTTTGGAACACAGAATATTGTCTAATATATATTTCAAAAGTATAAATATATATATTCTGTTTGGTTCACTCGTTTAGATTGCATAAGAGTTTCTTTTTTGGGATTATAGGATATTTTCCTTGGAATGTAATTTTGTATAACTTTTGGTAAATAAATACTTGATATTATATGGATTGTTAAGTCACACAATCAATCACACAATATTGTTCAATAAGTTCCTAAGCAAATCTATCCAGACCATAAGCATTTTCATAAGTTTAGATATAGAAAGAATGTAGATGCATTCAATTTTTCTACTGACATTACACTGCATTGCCTAGTAGGACCAATTGGTCAAATATAATAATATTAATAATAATGCATCAAGGTCTACATTAATTAAAATGACCATAATATTATCTTGGTAGTACAAAATCATTCCAAGACTTTTTGAGATGATAATATGTAAAGTCCTTCAAAATGTCACCTTTTCATGCATTTCACTTTGTAGATAGTTGTCATTTAATACATCATTACATCATAGTTTGGTAATTAACATACTAAGTTACAATTTCATACACCAAAGAATCTCATTAGTGTGACTAGACATCAAGAGTATTTCACAATCGTTTATGTTTTTGAGAGTATCAATTTTCTATAGCTAAAAGAATTTTTTTGCATATCACAAGTAGTTTTAATTTACGAAGGAGCGATTTCATTTGTTTAAGCGATTTCGTTACATCACAAGGAATTGAGCATTGATGGGATCCATAGTAAGATTGATTTGAAAATCAAATATGTATTAAATCATTGATAACATACGATTATTACTAGAATCGCGCTGATGAAAGGAAACAAAAGAGTGAAAGTTGTGAAAACTCCTATTGTATTTACTGTATTTTAAATGATTCCTTGTACAGGGGTGCAAATTAAACGCTAGGTCAATTATTACACCGAGTGAATAGTGACAAAGTTACTAATTCATCAGTTCACAGCATGAGATGCAAATGTCCAAAATGTATTTCTCTTTTGAGTTGTGTAGCTTTCTCAAGATCACGTTTTTATGATTTCCGGGTTCTCATCAAATTTCACCAGGACAGGTTTCATTTCGATGCAGCCTACAAAACACATAACCATCACCCAAGTCTTTTCCCTCATACTTTATATCTCTTGTCCACATGTGGATTTCCGGATAGAGCTAATGTCATTAATCATCGGGGATTTGGACTCGGGTGCCTTCCACACCTCAGACCACACTGCCTCACAAACCCTTCACCATTTCCATCGCAGTCACAACTGTATCCACAACAACTTACCAATCTACTCATGGTAGCCTCCTCATGCACAGGCACATCCCTCACATTCCAACCGAGCGCCTACCCATTAACCTTCCTCCCACCCGCACACATCTCATTGACCCCACCACCCACAGCCCCTACAACAACGACCACAACACACACGGAGGACCTAGCTTCACAAGCACAGACATCTCACAGCAAATCCCCATCGCCAACGACTTCTCCCCCTTCACCGACTCTTCCCGAAGCCCAAATGCGGGCTGGAATCACAACTCAGCACCCAGACGTGCCTCACTCTCGGCGGCGGCCAAGGCACGATGCGTTCCTGCCACACTGAGCCCAACCCCCTCACTATCAAGCATTGCACAAATCCACCCAAGCAGCCCCCAGAGCCGAGACTACAGCAGCATCGACACTATCCACGAAGCGGGGAAACAACGTAACCACATCTTACACCATCGATCCAGAAAGACAACACTTCCTGGATTCCAAGATACATGGCAACCCGATACTCTGCAACGGAGCAATGGCAGGTATTATAGGGCTCCGATGCTGCTCTCCACAGATGAAGCATGAAACCCTAATTCATCGATCCCTTAGCCACTCATTCATTCCTTCATTCATTTGTTCATTCATCAGAACGCTGCTCTGCAACGCCGGACAAATCTGGGTTCACCTTTACTCAAAATCTTGCTCTAAAAGAGCTCTTTCTGTTGAGAATGTTTAGAAAGACACAAGAGTAATAGTAAGTCATACACACACAAGAGTAGTAGTAAGTCATACACACAAGAGGGTTTCTAAGGAGAGAGAGCTTCACACCCAAAAATCTATTCATCTAGTTGTGTCTTGTATACAAGAAGAGAAAAGAGAAGAGGATAAATAGTACTTCTCCACTAGACTCTAAATATTGTAGCTATGGTATTTACCGTAGTCTATAGTAAATATCATGGAGAGCGCCGACTACATTTAATGATCTCAATACTTTCAAAAAGAAATAAACTTTGTAGTGGATAGAAAACGACTTGCATCAAATAGTATAATTGTAATTTTGATTGTAAATGCATTCAATGTATACTTTTAATAGTAATCCTAAATGTAAGATTTTAATAATTAAAATTTTAATCAAATATTTAGAAATTAAATTTATACCTTAAATATCCATACTATGGTTAAAACCTTCTTAGTAATTATATAAGAAACCTCCAAGTTTTGTATTGATTAAAGTAAGTAAAACTATATATTATCAATGTGTATTTTCATATATAATATATAAAATATAATACATATAAATTTAGTAATAAGAAATTATAATTTATTTAAAAATAAGAATAATATATATAGCTATGTTTTTAAAATATTATCATACTACTAAAATCATAAGCCCTATCAAAAGTCAACTATACTTTTCCTTTTCCTTTTCCTTTTACTGTGACTTTTACTTTTACATTTAATGTGACTTTTACTTTTACTGTGGCTATAACTTTTACTTTTACTTTTACTTTTACTTTTGTTGACTGCGCGGTTGACTGCTCCGTTTATTACTACGCGGTTTTGAAATTTGAACGTTGAGTTTGTGGGTGTGTGCAATCCAAAGTGTGTGTTACAATTTGAGCTTACCCAAAACAAATTTGAAACTCTTGATTACAATTTTGAAGCTCTTGATTACAAATTTGATGTTCAAAACATTTTTTGGATTGTGCACTTCAAGATTGAGTTGTAAATTGTGAGTTGTAAGTTGGAAGTTGTAAGTTGGAAGTTGTAAGTTGTGAAGTTGGAGTTGGAGTTGGTTGATGTGATCTTGGAGGTTTGAATACAAAGTTGGAGTTGGAGTTGGAGTTGGAGTTACAAAGTTCAAGTTGTGGAGATTGTTCAAGAAATTTGAGGTGAGATTGCAATTTTTGCAAGATTGTGAAAGATTGAAAGGTTTTGAAAGATTGAAATTTTTGGTAATTTTTGATTTTGGATAATCATAAAATCAAGTTTTCAAACATTAAACTTTCAAATCAAGTTGAAATTTAGTGGTTTTAGTTGCAAAAAACCAAACAAAAAACAAAAAACATCAAGGACTCAAAAACGAGCAGCTGTTTTGTGATGTGCACATCGCCGAAACTTTTACTTTTACTTTTTTTAACTTTTTTTTTGCCCAACAATTTTTCATCCGCTATGATTTTTCATCCGCTGTGATTTTTCATCCGCTGCGCGATTTTTCATTCACTGCGCGATTTTTCATCTGTTGCATTTTTTCATCCGATACATGGTTTTCATCCGCTGCGCAATTTTTCATCCACTATGGATGAAACTGTATTTTGGGCAGAATTCATTTAACAGTGAGTTAATATCTCCCAAAATACTAATTATTTTTGAATTCCGACTTCGGATTTGGACTTTTTAGGTGTATTTTCATTTAGTAGGAAAGAAAATGATTTGTGACAAAAATTTTCAAAAATCGACATTTTTAAGTGTCTTCAAAAAAAAAATTTAGAGTCTAAACTTTGGAGGTAGAGTATGGCTTGAGAATATGTTCATCACATTTGTTTTCATGCATGTTTTTTGTGTGTTAGATCAATACCTCTTGGCTACGAATGTGTTGCAAAGCAAGCGCCAACCTAATCTATTTTTTTTCTTTGAAGTGTAGTGCATTGAACGTAAACTTTTTAGAGTGGAGTGAAATTTCATCAAAAGGTGCAACTTTCTTGGAGCACAAGCTTACAAAGGTACTATCAAAAACCTTACTTTTGTGAGTTTTGAAATGGTTTGGGATTCACGTTAGGATTTTTGTTATCCTACATTAAACTCTGCTTTTTCTTATGAATTTTTTCAATCTTTGTGGAGTTTAGGATTTAGGGTAGGATTTCTTCTATCCTACACTAAATCCTATTTATTGATATATCTTTTTATCTTTGTGGAGTTTAGAATTTATGATAGGGTCTTCATTTTCCTATCCTAAATTCCACTTTTTTTATTATATTGTCATCTTTCTAGAGAATGGCTCGTGCTTTGTCTACCATTGATAATTTTGTAGATGTCAATGTTGATAGTGTTGGATCAATGTGCATCCAATGTCCAAAATGTTTGGCTTTTCGTTTTAAAAAAGAAAAAAATACCATTTGTTGTTACAATGGCAAAATTGCCAATGAACATGTTAATCACCCCATTGTCCATCTAATGCTCAATGAGCTTTATATGGGCACAACACCTAAATCTCGAGAGTTCCTTAAATCCATTCAAAAGTATAATCAAGCTTTTGCATTTACAAGTATGCGTAGTAAGTTTCACTCTGGCCAAGTTGAAGGTAGAGGGGTATATACTTTTCGTGTGAACGGAGAGTTATGCCATCACATTGGAAATTTACAACCCGATTTAGACGAAGGTGCTAGATTTGCACAAATTTATTTCTTGGATGATGGTTTACAAACAAATTGTCGTATGGAGATTTTTGATGATCTTCATCGTGATGTTGTTAACAACATTTAAGAAGTTTTAGAATCCATAAATGCGTTGGTTCGTGGTTTTAAGTCTTCGCGTGATGTTCTTCAAAGGGGACAAAACATGGGACTTCGTATCTCCGATGAGGTTCCTTTTGGTGAACATCCCCGTCGATATAATCGCCAAGTAGTTCCAAAAGTTGCTGCTGTTGTTCTTGACGAACAATACATGAATTTTGGTAGAGATATTATTCTTCACCAACGTGGTGGAGATTTAATACGAATAAAAGAAATTCATCCAGCTTACGATGCTTTATCCTATCCTTTGTTGTTTCTTGACGGGCGATGTGGGTGGTCACCAACTTTTAAAGTAGATACTGGAGTGACTTTAAAGTCATATGTCCAATATTTGCTTCAAAAGTGCCCAGAATCTAATGTATTACATAAGGCTGGTAGATTATTCCAGCAATATGTAGTGGATCAGTATTTACGTGTAGAACATGAAAATTTGCTTTTCATTAGGCAACATCAAACTGAACTTCTGCAGAGTGCTATCAAGGGGTCGTAGATGCTTTGCAGGAAGACAATGGAGCACGCATTGGGCGTTGCATTGTCTTACCTACAACATTCATTGGTTCCCCCCGATACATGCAAAAACTCTTTCATGATAGTATGGTTTTGGTTAGAGTTTTAGGAAAACCCGATTTGTTTGTGACAATGACATGTAATCCGATCTGGCCTGAGATTCTTGATGAGCTTGAGCCAGGTCAAAGTCCTCCTGATCGTCCAGATATTGTTGTGCATGTTTTCGAGCTCAAGTTAAGAGCATTGATGGATGAGATTACGAAGAAGAATGTCATGGGAGAGACAATTGCTTTTTGTTACACTATTGAGTTTCAAAAACGTGGTCTTCCTCATGCACACATTCTTCTTTGGTTGAAAGACAAGGTCAATGACTGTGACCTTGTAGATAGGATAGTATGTGCAGAGATTCCTGATTTAGATAGACAACCGCAATTGTATGCCGCGGTTGCCAAGCACATGATGCATGGACCATGTGGTTTGGACAATCCCAATTGTCCATGCATGGAAGACGATAGATGTACAAAGAACTATCCGATGCAAGCTCGAGATACTACCGAGGTAGATGGTGACGGACATGTTTTGTACCGTCGTCGAAATCAAGGTCGATATATCGAGAAACGTGTACGTGGACAAATTGTCCGTTTAGACAATCGATGGGTTGTGCCATACAATCCATATTTGATAGGTCGATTTAATTGTCACATTAATGTGGAAATTTGCAGTTCTGTAAAAACTGTCAAATACCTCTATAAGTATATTTTTAAAGGTTCAGATCGTAGTGTTGTAGAAACAGATGAAGTGGTAGATGAGATTAAGGATTTCTTAGAGGGTCGTTATGTGGCCGCCCAAGAAGCATGTTGGAGGCTCTTTGGTTTTGAAACTAATAATAAGAGCCATAGTATTTGTCGTTTGCCTGTTCACCTTCCCGATCAGCAATATGTTACTTTTAAGGAAGGAACATCTTTGCACTCGGTGATTGATCAAAATGCTGAGACTAAACTCACCAAGTTTTTTGAGCTTAATTGCCATATTCGTGCCTTAATTGCTTCTGGCAATCAAGGCAACCATATGCTTCTTCGTTACATGGATCTTCCACTCTATTACAAGTGGGATGTGAAGAATAACATGTGGGAAAGAAGAGTACGTAAGATAAAAGTTTTTGGTCGGATAAACATGGTTCCCATAGGTACCGAAGTATTTTACTTGCATTTGTTGTTGACTCATGTCGAGGCACCAACTTCATTTGAGGACCTACTTTGTTTTCAGGATATAGTGCATCCAACGTACAAGGCCGCTTGTATTGCAAGAGGACTTTTACAAGATGATTCTGAATGGGAAAATTATCTGCAAGAGGCAACTGTCATTGCGTTGCCTAAACAAGTTCGACGGTTGTTTGCAACACTTCTTGTATTTGGACAACCGCTAGATCCTCTTAGCTTACTAAAGACACATCTTGATGCTATGTCTGATGATTGGCACAATGATCAAAATCGCTATTGCAAAGCAATTTTGTCCATTGAAGAATATTTGTCATCATCAGACAAACATCTTACAGATTTTTTTAATATTGAAGAATTGAATGAGTTTGGTTATTCAAACATTGTTGATGTTGGCGGTGATTCCAATGACAATATTGATTTTGATAACCAAAACATTACTTTTCTAGAGGAGGATGTAGGTAGGCTCAACGAAGAACAATACATTGTTTTTAATGCGGTGACCACTGCCGTTTTAAATTCTGATTCTCCAGATCGGCTTTTCTTTTTAGATGGTCCTGGTGGTACAGGTAAGACCTTTTTGTATAACACCATATTGGATTATCTTCGTGGTCATAATGTCAAGTGTATGGCAATGGCAACAAGTGGAATTGCCGCATGTCTTTTGAATGAAGGGCGAACGGCACATTCAACTCTTGCTATTCCTTTACAGTTGCACGATGCATCAATTTGTAACATTAGTGCCTAGTCTACATTAGGTCAAAGCTTACGTGAAGTACAATTGATTGTACTTGATGAAGCTTATGCTGGGCATCGTTTTATGTTTGAAGCTATAGATAGATCATTGCGAGATATACGCAATATAGATAGTCCAAATGGTGGTGTTGTAGTATTATATGGCGGTGATTTTCGCCAAACTTTGCCTGTAGTTGTACGTGGAGGTCGCAAGCAAACTGTTCAAGCTTGCTTGTGACATTCATACCTATTTCCACTAATGCAACATTTTCATTTGACCACTAACATGCGTTTGCAAAGTCAACCGGACTTTCAACGATTTTTGTTAGATATTGGTGAGGGCAAAACCGGTCCAAAGGTAGATTTACCGCTAGGATTAGTTGCTCCTGGAAATTCTTTAGATGGTCTCATTGATGCTATTTTTGATGATCCGGTTGATTTTTCTGAGCGCGTCATTTTGGCTGTCCGGAATGATGATGCCCAAGAAATCAACCGAAAAATCACCGATCGTATACCTAGTGATGTGCATCAATGTTTTAGTGCTGATTTTATTCACGAGAATGATGAACATGCCCATCATTACCTAGTAGAGTTTTTGAATTCTTTACAATTGAGCGGTTTGCCTCCTCACCAATTAAGTCTTAAATGTGGCCAATATTTGATGTTACTAAGGAACTTGAATCCGGCAAAAGGTTTGTGCAATGGTAGTCGTTTGTGTCTTTTGTAAGTGTCTTCCAGTGTGTTGTTATGTGAAATTGTAGAAGGACGCTATCGTAGCCAAGAGGTATTGATTCCTAGAATCACACATCATTGCAACGATAGCCGCTTGCCATTCACACTTTGCCGGAGACAATTTCCTGTCACTGGTGCTTTTGCCATAACAATCAACAAATCGCAGGGCCAATCATATGATCGAGTTGGTATTTATCTTCGCAATGAAGTATTTAGCCATGGTCAATTATATGTGGCATTGTCTCGTGGTAGACATCCTGCAAACATTAAGGTTGCCAATGACAACAATGAAGCCATGGGAACGGTTAAAAACATTGTTTATCATGAGGTTTTTACATGACATTGTCATATAAATTCCTATAAATATTTACACTTGAATCAGGTAGATGGAAAAGTTAAGATTTTATTTCAAACTCTGCATGTTTAGGATTCATGCACACTTTGGCGACGTCCCCTTCCATCCAATTGCATTCTTTTGGTGTTCAATTATGTTTTCTCAATTGAGACAACTTACCATTCAATTGAAGAAGGTTACATCTTGAATTTCACTATTCAATGAATGGATATTTTCCAATGCATGCATCTTTAGATGCATTTTATTTCTAAAATTTATTACTCTATTCTATTATATTACATTCTTAAAATTCATGCTTAGGTCATGAAGACATATTTATATATGTAGATTGTTGTTACCTTCCTTTTAAACTTTTTTGTAATATAAGAACTACATTAAAATGGTTGGACTAATGCATTGCAAAGCAAGCGCCAACCGCTAGTATAATAATAAAAATTTAATAACATAAAAATTATGAATAAAATTAAATTTTTGATTTATAATTTTAGTTAAATTATGACTACAAAAATAAAATTAATTTATAATAAAATAATCATAATAGCTAAAAGAAATAATAAAATAACATAGAAAGGTAAAATATTATAAAATACATATTTTAATTTAATAAGTCAATAGTATATAGTAACACAATGAGCTCTATATTTGAGCTTCTTCTATATTTCAAAAGAATCAATCTTACATTATAAATGAAATTACAAGAAAAAATCTATAAATAATGCTTTACATCTTACATTCTAATATTTCACTATATACAGAAGATTTGAGAAGAATATAAGAGGAGAAGAGCAACCAATGATTTGCTCTACCAAACCAACTCCAAAATATCTTCTTTTATACCTCTCTAAAGTTGGATATAATAGTTTAGTTCTAATTATCCCAAATCAATTTTAAAGACTTCATTATCATTAGAACTAATATGTTCTAACTTAGTTAGAACAATTAGTTTCATCCAACTTATATTTCTAGCAAAGATATGATTAAAGCCTTTAATTTATTTGAAGCCTAATTAATTAAATTTGTCTACAACGTATTCTATATATAATTAATTAGAAAATATTTTCCAAACTTTCACCACTTGTAATAGAAATCTAAGCCAAATTAGAACAATTGCCAATATTGAGTATATAACTTTTACAATATGCAAACAACAAAGAAGATAATTTATTGTATTAACCTTATATTTTTGTTCATTATTATTTTTTAATGATAATTAATTTTATAAAAATTAATTACTATAATCAATATAAAGATTAATGTAGATTTTTGTATGATTACACATGATTGGTGTTGAGATATTGTTAAATATTTCATAGCTATTGGCATGGAAAAACTCTTAAATCATTCAAATCAACAATTGGATCTAATTTTTCTCTCATTGCTAATTATAATATGGATTCTAAGTCATATAATAACTGATAAGTACTAAAAGATGTAAGAGATGCTTATTGGCTAATACAATAATTTATTATTATTCTATATAAATTTCAAATTTTAATCTTTGTCATTGCTTACTAACAATTACTACTTAAGTAATCAATACTTTACTATTTAAACTACTCTCTTTGTCAATCTATTTACCTTTCAATGCTTTCTATTTATTTTAGGATGATCAAACAAAGCTTTAGTACAAAATTCTTCAAATGACCAAAGAGAATTTTTTCTTTAATCTATCAACACTTTTGTAAGGGCTCTAAATCGTATAAGAATATGATTTGAAAACGTTGCTTTTGCTAGCTTTAAGATAATTTTGTAATAAAACCATTAATTTAATCTATTTGCTAAAATTATCTAATATAAGATCTATATATATATATATATATATATATATATATATTTTGTACCTCATGGTGTGGTTATTAATGGTTCAATAAAATCAAGATTCTACATAATTAGTAAAGATTACAAATAGAGAGTCAAATTATTGAAACTTTATTTAATTTAATTATAGACTTTTCATCTCTCTATATAGGTTACTATCTCTTATTGCATCTCCATCTATAAATATTAATTGTATAGCATTGAATACATATAGTATACTCTAAAATGCCCCAAGTCTTTATGAACTTGCTATATCAACTAAAAATAGTGATTAAACTGATAAATCACTCTTCATGTCCCACCTTATTATTTATAAAATATAAAACCATCTTCTTAATAAAACATAGTTATACAATAAACTATATAATCTTTCTTTTTAGAAATGGTATTATGTGGAAATTTTCAATATTATAGATGATATGAAATCTCTTGATGTTTTTATACATCTATAGAGATTTGAAGTACTCTTTGACTTAAGTTCTTATTAGCATCATCTTCTAAAATATCTTATGTAATTTAGTTAAATCTTTATTATAACTAAGCCAAATAAGATGCAACATGGCATCCTATTATTGCACCTTGATTTAACCTACTTTTCCACCTAATATCAATTAAGTCTTCATTTAAAAGACTTGGATTATTACTCAAAGCACTAGCATCTAAATTTTACAATTCCATCTTAAAAACTACTTCAAAATCATGTTCTTATAGTAATAAGGCCAACCTACCTAACTTTTCAATAAATTTATTAGATTCTAGCAAGAATTTTAATGGTTGGTGATGTATTACAAGTATAAAGTATTAGCCATAAAACTATAGGCAAAAATAACCTACTGCCTATACTATTGCTTAATATTTAACTTGCAAAGATTAATATATATATATATATATATATATATATTATTTTTTCTTAATAAAGCAAATGTAATGACAAACTTCTTGCTATCATTAATTTTTTAAGCCAATACTATATCAATTCCAAATATACTCTAATTTCTATAGAATCAAAAAGATTGCTAAGCATGTTACTAACTTAAGTCAAATGTTAAATCTAATATTCTTTTTAAGATTTCAAATTCTTCTTTTTAGCCAAAACTTCACATCTATTCTTAATGAGTCAATGACAATAGAATCAATGGTCTAGATAAATACTAAAACCATAATCAAATCTTTCATAATAGTTTGATAATTCTATAGAGGCTCCCAAATGCAATACATCATTAGGTAGAAGAATCATTTTTAATACTTCAATATTTGCCTATTGTACTTTTGATCTATCAAGTATATTCATATGCCTTAGATAAGATAGTTGATCATAAGATATTTCATATTTTATGTATTGTAGACAAAGATTCTATGCTTATAATTTTTAAAGAACTTATTACAAGTACTTCACATATTCTCTTTATATTTTATTAAATACTATCACATCATTAAGATAACACTAAGCAAATATCAACACCTTTAAGACTCAATGTATAACACATTAGAATTTTTTTGGAGCATTTTTTTAAGCCAAAAAATAAAAAGTTCTAATAAAAAAGTACATCTCTTCTATCATCATCTACTTTCTATAATGTTGTCTTTACCATATCTTTAAGTCACAATGATAATTGGTGATTTCTTAAGCTTAAGTCCAAAATATTAAAGATTCTTGCCTCCCTAATTATATCAAATAATTTTTCAAGTATTGGCATTTGATATTAATCAAATTTGGTATTTTACTAATAATATTACAATCTCTATATATTTACTTCTTTGAATTAAATATTTAAATAATTATGTATCTTTTCTATTTTTTGTATTAATATATTTTTTTCTTTTACAAATTTAAGCTATTCATATTCTAATTTTAATCATATACAAATCATCTATTAATTGTATAAATTTAGTTTTTAGAAAGACTATCTTTTGTACAACTTGAGATATAATACTCTTTGCTTCCTAACTTGAAGCATATATGGCTATATTTTTTTCAAAGATACTATTGTTGTGCCTTTGAAATGCTAAATACATTTCTAAAGACCAAATCATAGAAGTGAGTTACATAACTTCATCAAAGATTTGACAATGTTGCATTTTTGTCATATCAAATGCACTTGTGGTGTATGTAAGAAAGTCCATGAAATATTCATGCTCCATTGCATTGGCTTCCTTGAGTCATTATATATATATATATATATATATATATATATATATATATATCAAATATAAGATCAAGTCCACCTTCTCAAAATATAAATAAACAAATATGATAATTAAGGTCTTCTTATATGATTAACTAATACTAGTCAAAATTAATCATCTTCTACTACAACTTAGATATATTGTCCATTACGTAAGATATGATCAACCTTTCTTTCTTATGGACAACCAAAAAGATGCAATGATATTGATATGCTATGTCTATAGATCTAGTTAATCTTCTTCAACATCAATTGATGGATATAGGATTCTAAAGCTGTAACAACTATTACTACTAGCTCATCAAGATTTTGACATAATATTTAAACATACTCGTAGACTTATGCACCTAAAATTCTTTGAGGTGGCATTTTTTCAAAAATATGTATGCCTATGCCTTATTTTGTTTTTCAATTAACACTTGAACTATAATAATAAGAGCTTCCAAAATAACCATAAGCATAGGTCTTGAAGTATTTGGCCATATTATGCTTAAAAATGTCCTTAATAAGGCCATCTATCCATCACAAGATCTATCATGTTCAACCTTTAAAGATCATCTTTATTAATCAGAAGTCATGACATACAATCTTAAATGGCATTTAGAAGTAATTGTCTTAGATATTGCAAGTGTAGATGTTCTAAATATTTTATTTTTATTTTTCTTATTGCAATATTTTTTTTTACATACATATAGCTTTTTATTAAAAATAATTTCTTAAATATTGTAGCCAAAGTAATATTAAGTTTAACAAAGAGTTCTATTAAAATAATATTTCTAAGACTATCATAAAATTGTAAAATCTTTTGTAATAGTAATAGAATATCCATTGGATTCCATAAATATTAATCTAATTTCTCTATTATTTCTTCTTATTGATTAATAAATTCATTTGATGAAAGTTCTTTTAAATGCCTTGTAACTATGCCTAATATTGTATTGTAACACAACTATTAAGTGAAAGAGCATTAAAAGACTTATATTATAAAAGAAATTAATTAAAGACTTAATAGAAAATTATATTAGAAATTATAAGTAAAATATAAGAAGGTAGTAGAATTTTTTGTGCTAATATTATATTTTTATTAAAATAACTTTTTAATATTTTGTGGCATCATAAAAAAGGCAAAATAAGATAGATTAAAAGTAATGATACTATTGGCATCTTTAAGTAAAATTAAAAAGTAGTTTCTTGCAAAAATTAACTAAAAAATTCTCAGATTGATATTTAGGGAACACCAATTATAAATCAAGGTCAAAAACAAAGCTCAAGACATAAAACTACCGCTTATGACAAATGCAAGATTTTTTGCAATTAGAGAGTAAGATTCGAAAGAAAATTTGAAAAAGATCATATAAACAATGGTTTTAAGATATTTGGATTTTTATGGACTTTGTAAGAGCTTTGCAAAGTCAAGATTAGATTCAATTGTCTTTATTTTTAAGAAATAAAGCAGAATTAACATTTTCAAAAGTTTTATGAATATTTTGACAAATCTGTAATTGAAATTTTGCAACTTTGTAGATATAATTGTTTTGAGTGTTTATTATGAATTTGGACTCAAATAGATAGTTAGATTAAAATTTATTAGAATTTAAATAGACTAAAGTATTAAAAAATAGAGATTTGTTAGCCAATCAAGATTTCTAAGATTTATAAGGATTTAATTTATCTTATGTTGTTCCATCATATAGATTTAATAAATATATCTATAGTATTGAATATGATGCTAAAAAAACTCACACTTTTTATGTCTTATATTCTACAAATATCAACTTTGTTTTTCTTAAGTAATCAAATGGATTAAATTACTTGAATATTAAATATATTTTTGCTCTTATTATCTTGACTATTGCTACCAAAGCTTATCACCATACCTTTCTTAGTAAGAAAATTATAAGTTTAACTATTTATTAGACATCTTTAAATTCATGCAAAAAAAGAAATAGATAAAAAAATTTATATATTCAATAAATGTAAAATCTTCTAAAAATAATAATTAAAAATATTTCCATCTATTCAATACAAGCATATTTTAATGCCTCTTTTTAAAGGAAGGAACTCATACTTATTATTTGACAAGTCTTTTTTGAATAAAACAAGTTCTTGCTATTTTATTTTATTTTATTTTATTTTTTGAAGCTGCTTTTACACATTTTTTTATATTAATGAACAAAAACAAACGAGAGAATTGGTATCTTAGAAGGATCATTATTAATTAGTTATTATTGTTAATCTTTTTAGAATGGCACAAGAAATCTTAGAAAGTGGTTAAATTTCTAACATCTTACTACTAATCTTTAGATACAAGTAGATAAGCAAGTGTATCATATCCAACTTTAATGCCATCAATTATATGTTTAAATTTAAAGAACCATGATGATAACTCATGTCATAATAGACTTCAAATATTATTTAAAATGGTTGAAAAGTTTGTGTAATGAACATTAAACTCCAATCAATAAATAGTATCTATAAATTTGATGTAGATGTTTTTTTTTCATATAAAATTTTTACTAATGTTTTAATAAATTTATCTTTATTTTTTTATTTTTATAACCTAAGACCAATATATTTTGATGAAACAATAGCTATAGTTGAGTTAGATTAGATAGAACTGATTTCATTAGATTTTAGGCTTAGAAGGGGCTATTCTAAAGAAACTAAAGCTTAGAGTTTATTATAACTAAATATTATGGTTTTAGTTCAATTATCTAAGAGTTTAAAATTTTATTAATTTGTTATTGTTAAAGATTGCCTTAACCATCTTCTTTTTAATTGTAGAAGATATTTTTTACATTCTTAATATAAATATATCACATAACATGATATCATATAATCTACACTTCTAATTTATATGCAAAGTTCCTAAATTTAACTTTAATTTTGTAATATTATCTTCAAAATTGTCTCGTGAATAATCTTTAAATCCAATGTGTTTATAACATACTTAAGAATAATATTAATACTTCCATTATCTATTATAATCTAAGAAATTATTCTGTCTACAATTTCTACATTTATTACAACAAGTTTATATTTTCTATCCGACATATGGTTTAGAAAATTCTTTGAAAAAAATCAGTTAATTTAATAAAAGTTAAAATAAATTAACTCAAATATACAGATTATGATTAAAATATTTTAAATAATAATAGAAAAAACTTTAATTTTTTTATTATTTTAAAAAAATTAAAATAAATAGAAATATATACATATATAATATGTTTGAATGTATACAACATGTCTTAGATATAAATTTAATACAAAAAATAAAAAATAATCATACTTTAAAATAAATTTTATATATTTATAGTTCTAAAAATAAATATTTATTAGTAATAAAAACAAAATAAAAACATTCATAATGACATAATATATATATATATATATATATATATTATTTTAACATTGAGAAATTCTTTGTCTAATTTTAATACAATGGATTTATTTTGTATGTTAAAATATCTTTGCATTTATTCTTCTATTTTTAAGATAAAAAATTAATATAATATTGTTATTAAAGCAACACTCCACATTATCATCTCATCATCAATTTTGTCTATCTCTCATCTCAATTCCTTGTTCTATGTTCCCTATCCCCCATTCCTAGCCCTTATTAATTGTTTTCTATCTCTGTCTCTTGTTCTTAGTCCCTCAAAATTAATCATCACAAGTTTAGGGGGGTGTGGCTTTAACAACTTCCTATCTAAATTATTTAAAATATACTTTGAATAAAATATTAAAAAATCATAAGTAGAAATTTATCAAAAAAATAAATAACATATGTTTAAATATTCTACTAGATAGCAATTGAAATTTATTTGAAGTAGCATGTTAGCAAGAAATTCTTGCTCTTTCAAAATTAGTCATTAATCACAACCACAATCAAATAATCATATTGTTGAACTTTAATAAAAAATTATATAGTGTAAAAATAAAATAAAATAAAATAAAATAATATCTTTTTAAAAATAATACCTTTAGTATTTTGATAACATGTTAATTTGAATTAATGAATTAGAGTAATAAAAACTCCTTCAAATTCAAATTAACTCCACTAATAAATGTTAAAAATTACACACAATAATACACATCATGAATTATTATTAAGAAAAAATATCATATATATCCCTAAAATATGCTAAAATATTAAATATACCCTTGTATTCTTGATAATAGCAAATCTATCCCACTTTTTTTAATAATAGAAAATCTATCCTTGAATGTGATAAGATATTACCATTCTTTTTTTTCTTTTTTTTTTAATCATCATTTGGGGTCCAAATCGTGTGCATTTTGATGTGCAAATTTGGCTTTCTAACAATCCTGTGGGCATTATGGTGGCTTGAGGCTACATAATGGTAGAGTGCATATAACAACATCTCTTTGAAATACACAATAATTTTTTATTATTTTGCAAAGCTGCTCATGTGCCTACAATTTGGGCCACAAATGTCTTAGAAGGATCAACAAAATTTGGCTTGTCTTCTTGAGCTAAAATCACAAATATTGCATCAAGTTCTAAGTGATTTTTTCATCACTAACCATTTCTTTAACCATTCTAATCCATGAAGTGATGTCCAACTACTTATCATGTTTAGACGCTGGAAGCTTATGTGCATTGATATACAAACAAATCTTATTATTAATTTTTTACATGGTCTACATGAAGTATAGAAGAGTGATTGTTACGACATCAAGTTTTTTTTTCAAGATAGACAAAATTGTACCCCAATAAAAGACTAAATTGTTGTAGGAGCTTACTATTGAAAGGCAAAGTCTGTGATGTTAAACAAAGGCCTTTACATTCTATAAGTTGTAGCTAGTTTAGATAACATCCTTCATAGAGAAGTGAGTCAAAGGAGGAAAACTCAATGGATCATGCATCCATTGCAGAATATTTGCAACCTTAGCATATAAGGCTCATCCTCTCATGCAATCCAAATATAGCCATAGATGAGAGATGTGGACTTTGATCTAGCATGGATCTCAATGTGTTATTTGTGCCTTGTGTAAGTCATGCTTTTGTACATACCACATATACTCACAATATGCAAGCTTGTGAGAGAGAACCTCAACACATCTAGTACTCATGCTAGTTGTCTCTATCTCCAAGTTGTTAAACTCATAAATTGCAAAAAGTTGGATTTGGCAATCACAAGTTACTTGCATCAAGTCAAATCTCTTACCAATTTGTCACCTTTTAATCTCAACGTCCATAGAACTATTCTCTTCATTTTTGTGAGAAAATCAATTACTCCTCATTTTGGATGTCATTGCAATATATAATTCTATATTATATTGATGCAACAAGATTTGAGAGTTTTGTAATCTATCAAGGATTCAATCAGCATATTTTTTTCAATGTCAATCCATAACTAAAGGCATGTCAAAGATGTTGAATTAGATATGCACATCAACAAGTCTAAAGTCTACAAGTTGCATCACCCCCATGCTATACAAATCAACAGAAGAAAAGAAGGCAAAAAATTTGCAATGATCAAAAAGATAAAACTAGGCAAGGCCAAAATCTGCACAATAAAATGCATCTAAAAAAAGAAGATTGGTGATAGCTTATCACATACAAGGGTATATTTGCTATTATCAACATTGAATTGTTGTTTCAACATATCTGAAGGGTATACATGATATTTTCCCTATTATTTAAAGAATTTAAAAAAAAATTAATACATAAACAAAGAAAAAGTCAATGATTTAACATTATGATTTAACATGATTTAAAATCTACAGGTTATTAACATTGTTGCAGAAATTATAAAGCGTTTAAGGGGAGACAAGGCAAAACCGAAGAAAGGATCCACACAAACTAGGAAAACATTTGAAGAGAAATCACCCTACGGTCCGATGAAAAGATTGCCAGCCACAGGTAATAAAATTGAAGAAAATAGGACACCATTGCAAAACATTTAAACAATAAAAGAAATATAACTATCCTGAACTTTCTGAATGATCAGCTGTGCTCAAAAGTTTGGAAGTTAATCTATTTCCGTAAAAGATTGCTGCTGTTGCCAGCTGGTATATTAAAGTTTCAACATAAAGCATCGGCTGGTTTCAGCTCTATGATGCCTGAAAGCAAAGAGCGGATCAAGCATAGACTACACAACCGAACTCCTTACGATTTCATCACGCCCTGAAAAACTCCACCTCCACCTTTCACCGAAATTGTAACTGCGGTTCAATCAGTCGGCTCGTAGTTTATAAGCCACTTCCTACGATTTCCTAGGGGCGTGCTTAGGTTGAGGACAGCTGCCAAAATGCTCAATTTATGTTCCCTCAACTTTCCTCAACGATTTGCTACAAAGGACCAGTCGTTTCAAGGCAAAACCATCCTCAGACCCCTGAAAAAAATGGGAACGAGAAGAGGAACACAATATAATAACTGACAAGCAACACCGTGAATAGACAAGTCAGCAGTATCTGAAGTTCAGCTCCAAGCTGCTGACTACCTCTTTCCACCGTTAGCCTCAGATTTCTCCCTCTCGCGCTTCATGTACAGTCTTTCCAGCACGCGTCTAGCTTCGCACTGCGGAAAGTTGCTCAAATCGTAGTAATGCGGAGCAACGTCTATCAGCCTGCAACCCCACCACACAAGTTCCCAATCACCCTACTCAGAACACACCCAATCCAACATCATCCAACCCAAAACCTCCAACCACACTCGCCATCTCATGCGCTCTCTGCCGCCCCACGATACCCTACCCTCATGCCACATACTCTGCTCCACAAATCCCACCCAAACCCACTCACGCGTCCGCTGATCACCCTCACACTCCGCTGCCACAACTACCTATAAACCGATCCACATCTTTCCACGAACCAATCACACCCCCTTTGCAACATCCCAACCACATCGCCACCACCCCACATCAAACACCGCCGCGACACTCACCATTCCCCACGCACATCTGTCACTATTCGAATGAAGTTCCGAGTAGTCAGCACAAACTCGTTGTATATCACCCACTCCGGCTTGTGGTCCAAACAACTCGACGGATGCAGATGAACCATCTGCACGCCCCAAACAATCACGTCAGTACGTTCCTCCGTTCAACCCCTCATCATGCCTCCCCAATCCCAAAACCACGCAGCACTCCACAACCCTCACATCCACCTCCCACAACACGTCTTCCCACCATTCCCACCTACCCTATGCTTCGCCCCAACACCAAACCCCGACGCGCTATGACAGGACCCCGCTTCACACACACATTCACTCACTCACGCCACCCCACAACGCACTCGGTTCCCGGTAGGGACTGCACTACTTCCACAACAACATCCACGGAACATCTCCACCCAGCCCCTCGTCTCTTACCTGGTTGTCCTTCACTGTCAGGTAGTGACCCGTCCGCTCCAGATGAGCCACCTGCATAAAGTACCCCGCAAGCATCGCTTTCCGAATGCTCACATAATAATCCCGGCTGTTGAAGTCTGTGCTGCACATCTTCAGGTTGTACCGATTCATGATGCGCACCAGCTGCGTCCGCACGTTGTCAGCTGACTTCATCGCACGCACGTTGATGAAATTGTCGTAACACCACGTGGCGTCCTCACCTGCACGTCCGCCCACACACCCGCCCACCCATTTCAGCCTTCCCACCCGACACTCTCCCTCCATCCGCGAACTCCCACCCTTACTCCGTTTGTGGCTCACATCTCATCCACCTCCTCCTCAACATCACACCACCACTCCACACAACTCTCTCTCTCTCCCTCTCTCTCTCTCTCTCTCTCTCTCCACATCCTACACTAACCTCCCACCTTCACATCTTCGCCATCCACCAACCCACTGCCACAACACACCACTACCACGCTTCCGTCTCCCCTCCCACGCACTCTCAACCCCCAGCGCATACGTCCCAACCATCCCCACCGCCACAACCAACACATCTCCTATGCTTCACCACTGCACCCTCGCATGCAGATTCACACTCCACCCTGCCCTCCGCACAGCCTCGACACACACCACTCATCATAACCACCCCTCTAAACACAACTCCCCAATCCCCAGACCCACAACGTACCGTTCTGCTTGTACGCATGGTACACGTTCAGAAGCGTCAGG